GGAAAAGGCTAAAACAAACACAGACTTTATTAAAGATGCTGACGTTTAGATACAGATTTCTTCCCATATTCCATGGAATGTGGAAACACGGAATTGCTCTAGAGGTGGAGAAGAGATCGTCTACACCATCATGGGATGGCGAAGCACCAGACAAGTGGAGGAGAGAAGTGTGATGTTGTGACCTCTAGCCATTTACCCCACAGCTCTGCCGACTTGGCGAAAGACGAATGCAAGCCCTTGAACTCGGTGACTGTCACCTGCCACCTCGTCTAGACTGTGGAGAAGGAAGATGATGATACTTTAGCCAACCCGACGACCAGTTTAACGCCCCGAGGCGTCCTCCCTGTTGGTGGCAAAGGCCTCTGCCAAATTCATTTAGCCCTATAGCCAACTTGGAGGAATGAAATTGGGTGGAGACTGTGAATGTCACATTGTTTTTATTTCCTCTCCATCGGTGGCATCGAATAATATTCTTTTTTCTCCTCTCCCAGGCGAGAAAGCGAAATCAGCATAACCGAAGTGGATGACGCGTGACAAGGCGTGGGTACAACATGCATTCGGTATTTTGGGGTGACGACAGTCATCGTCACCAAAGATCCACTTCGCGTTTTTATGACTTACCCACTCCAGATAACTGTGCATCTCCAGACAAAGAAGTGGATAGGTAGGTAAAGTATGACAATAAAACAACTGTCAAATCGTCCTCTAGAGCTACTCTAAAAGACGCATAGGAGGGAGAGGGAAGCAAGTTGGACACTGAGAGCACGAACCAGACCTCTGGCCAGTTCAAGGAGCGAATCGTCCAAGCCTATCGACAACCGCCTACGACACGGAGAGGTGGATGACGAGGAAAGGGATGGAGAGAAGTTTTTGCTAAGCGATTATTACTTTTGGGAAGGACAGTTATAAAAACCACGCTTTTATTGCCCGAGGGCAAATCGGAAGTTCCTCTGACCATCAGGACTTTGCGTAAAACTCATGAAAGAGGGACGCTTGCCCTTGTCTGCCGTGTTTATCAATGTCAAATTTGGTATTTGTCAAGGCGGAGAGGGAGCAGGAGAAGGAGGAGTGAGGAACAAAAGAGACGTTAAAACCTTAGTCAACAACGCACAACTTGCTGGCTCCGGTTGCCAATGCCAACAAAACGAGTGTTAAAGTATTTTACATCACTGCTCCACATTCTCTTTCTTTCTTTCATTCATTCCTTTTTTGAGGAGGAAAAAACTAACTTCTTAAAAGTGGTAAAATTACTTGTAATAGAGGAAATAAAAACGAAACATTAATAGCTTGTACCTAAGAAAGAAATTCGAGAAAAAAAACAGAAAATGAAGAAATACGTATGGTGAGGCGGGAGGAAAGGAAACGGAACTCAGAAAGTGATTCAAAAATAAGAAAATGTGGATTACTTGTATTTTATTGTTTCACTTTCTACTAATGGAATGTAAATTTTCGGTAGTTTTGGGACCAGAGCCCCTCCGAGGTGCAAAGGCAACTTGATGGACCGAGAAGTGCAGGAACACCTAACGGTTGTTTATTCGCACTGCTCAATTTTTAACCATTTCAGTGGCTCAGTTTAGTAAAAAAGGAGGTTAATCAGAAAGGAAAAGACAACTTGTGCACCATCTGTATCAATGGGACTTTGAAAGACGAGTCCATGCACCGCATCACATGAAGGAGCGATAGGATGCACATATGCTGGGAGACTTTACAGAAACGTGAAGTTTTTTATGAAAAAAGGAACAGGTAACCCATTTACCACCAATATTTCCCGTATATAACTCTTTCAATTTCAATTTCTGTTTCCTGATGCAAATGTAACCACTGATTGACACACCAATCGTTCTGTGTAAGTTCGTATTTTCCGATCGCACTTGATCGGCAAGACGAGTGGATGAATGTTATGGTGACCACTACGCCGAGATTTGCCAAAAGGGCATTCATTACTTCTAAGTCAGACCTAATTTTAGTAAACTTAAGTTGTCCTCGGGAATGACCAATTAAATTGGGTGCAAGTACATCATTTGTGAATTGCTAGCAGAAGTGGCCTCGTTTATACACTGCGAATGAAAGAGAGTCCCTTTTGCAAAGGGGACTAAGGAGGCATTACCGGGCCTCACTTTCAAGAGGTTTTGGGATCCCAAAAATAGGGGTGCATTCAGTCAGAGGACATTGGATTTGAAGGTAGGGACCAGATTCGGGAGAGTGATAATATTTCTTTCCCCTAACAATTACACTAGGGACGAAATCAGCTTGGCATTAAGCAGGTTTAATGCTGGCATTCCGGTAGTCCTGCAAATGCCAGCCTAAGGATATCTTGAGAGAGAGGGCACGATTGTCGATTTGCGTTCCGAGACAAATCATTTCAATAATGTCTACAAGAGTCGACAGAAGTTTACAGTTTCTCCTTTAAAATTGGAGAAAGAAGCTAGCTATTCGCTAACAGCAGAAAGGACTCCCTTTTATGACTTTTTTTCCTCATGATGACAAGGAGAGGATTGCGGTACGAGCGTCTATTCGTGGAACTAAGGCAAGAAACATATAAAAACTGCGCAGATTATAGAGAACAAAGTTGGCTTAACAAGAACTCGAACAAAATAAGGAATTCTATATTAGCTGCGGTGGTCAGTTGAGGAAACAGTTTTGTCCGGATGGAAATTCTAGCCATTCTCATTGTAAAAAGAGGTTGGAGGAAGTCGGATTAAATCGGACAAAAAACATTAACACTTGATGATGGAAGTGACATTCATATTAGTTTTAAAAAATACAACTTCAACTCCAAGCGTCCAAATCCCATCCATACTTGTCGGTAAATGTGGTGAATTGAAAGTTGTAGATAATTGCTACGTGAAATACCATCTTGATTATTATATTTAATCCTAGCATAAATAAAAATGTTTAAAGCAACTTTCCGCAGAAAATCCGAACCTGAAGTGATCGTTGAGGCTAGGATCAATTGCAGTCTCACGATAGCGAGCCACAACCTCCGTGACGTTGCCCTTCGAACTAGGAATGTGACGCTGAGATATATCCCAAGCACTAAATCCATTGTTCAGATGCAGCAGACGGTCACTTGTGTCCCGGATGTTGGAAGAGGACTCATCCACCTCCCACGGCCAGACCACGCGAACAAATTCAATGTAGGTTTTTGAAGGAATCTCACACCTATAATTAATTCAGTAGGGGGAAGATTCATGAAAAATCGAGGCGAGGTCGGCTAGGAGGGAGTAAAATGTTATACCTTAGGGTGAACTCGGCAATACTGGCGTGTTGCTTGACTCTCACGGGAACATTAAAATATTCACCGTTTTTTAACCGACGTGATGGAATGTCTAACCGAATATTCCGACCAATTTCCCGAATTTCGTCTTGTTGGGGTTTTTTAAGCGAGATTTTGGATAGAAACTTAAAGTTGGACATCTGGGTGGCTAGAGGCGTCCAGCATTGTCTTGATAGCGCTGCAGAATCCATTAGCAAATTCACGGTTGAGGACTTCATGTACTGAACAGTATTTATCCTGTAGCTTACATCCAGTTCATTATTCATCGAATCGTTCCAAGCCCTACTTTCGATGGTAATGGAGGCATGGCATGCTGATCGATTAGTGAAGGACAAATTATCAATCAGACATCCAGTAAAGAAGTGTCGGTTGCTAGCAATAACTTTTATGATGCAACAAGTGCTCATATGCTGATTGTTTAAACTTTTTAAAAGATCAGGCGCCATTAAGGAATGACAGAGGAAATGAAGAGTGGGGTCATCTTCACCCAACTCCTTTTGAAACAAATGTACAGTAGTCAAAGGGTGAGTATAAAAGTTATTTGCATCCGGGTTGATTGATGCCTTAACCCTCAAATTTCCTACATTTATGTTGAGGGACACATCATCAATATTTCCGACTGAGGCAAAATCCTGCATGTAAATGGACGTCTCTTTTGTAGATCCAATATCAGTAAAAAATGCAGCGTCAATTGGGACAAATTTCGTGTTAATAACATCAACTTCAATTGTGTGAACCACAAGGAACAAGATCCAAAGAAGAAATAGTGTTTTCCTTCCACCAACCATAGTGTAAAGTAGTCTTAAACAATATTGGATTATGAGCACATTGTGCGAATCAGTAATGGGGTAAGGAATTCAAACTTGAATTCTGTTGCAGTAATAAAAGCAAAGCACCAACATCCTACTAGACATGAACAAGGCAGTCAAAAATGTACCAAGCGGCTCAAGGTCAAGCAGTAAAGAAGCTAAACAAAAGTGAAGGATTAGCAATGAAAAGCAGTGCAGAAGTAGTTTACATTTAAACACCGATACATATAGCGATAGTTAGAATTTTGGCCAGCTTTATACTTATGAATCTTATTCGTCTATTTATGATGCGCGAAGCACAAATAATTTAATGGCTAGGCGACGATTATAATTCACTTAAAAACATAGTCAGCTATAATATACGTTGCTTAGTTTAAAAATACTGTTAAGACAATGGCTTACTAAAATTATTAGTCATCAAGGTCTATAAATAAACATTTCTGCATTTAGCAACAAAAAATTTGCTTCATTTTTCGAAGTTATTCAAAGGAATCTGCATGATAACTGTAATGCTTTGTGTATGTGACTACCTGGGTTTAGTGGTCACTATAGGATTTGTCTGGCCCTTGTACACGTGGGCTGGCCTTCGGGCCATGCTCGGGTCCATTTGCTTTTTCCCTTCGGACTACATGCATTCATCCTCTCATTGCCTTCTTCCACCCTGTGGGAAGTCCCGATACGCTACAGTAACATCCTAAGGCTTTCCGATAACTTGTAAAAACATATATTTTCTGTAGAATAGGGGAGTGTTTT